GAACACTGTTGAGACATTTGTCTACATTGAATGTTGAAGTATTACTACCCTGAGCCAAACCTCGTTGTTTGAGAGTTTCCAGCTCATCTCGAGTCTCTTGAGTTCAACTTGTAAGGCCAAATTACTTGGTATAACAATTTCCTCTGAATTTCCCGACGGTTGGGCTATGATTTCATTGTCAATAAGGTAGTTGAGGACAGCCTCTTCTAACCTAGCCTTATTCATGGAAGAGCGGCCTTCTACTTCATAATAAGCAGCGAGGGATTGCCACTCTGCCTTAGTAAGCCCCTTCAGTACTTCGGCTGAAGGTGAAGCCAAAAAGCTTTCCAGGTCAAACATGTTGAACTCAAAATCGAGTAGCGAAAAAAAAGTAACCGTGGCAGCTAAGCTAACTAGCTAGCTAATTAATAATATCAAAATGCAATCAACTGTGAAACACAGCAAGGGATTAACCAAACACCTGGTACACAAGATAAGGGTTAACTCACCAGTAGCTTAAGCAATAACAGGATCAATATAAATGAACACTGTGAACACAGCAACTTGCATCCAAAAATACTTAGCGATGAAACAACACCTGGCGAGTAACAACACTTGATATGACACAACAATGGTGGTTAGTTCCCGGACACAGGCCCCCACTTGTCGCGATCCCAATATCCTTTATACCTGGGGAGTGAATCCTACCCCAAGTTATTAACAAATAAAGGAACAAATAGGGAACACGGCAATAATTATCCCCACAAAAAACCTACTCAACTAATGTACTTGAATAAGTATGAACAAATTGAAGTAAGTAAGTCACAAAAGGGAAGATAATTAATTAATTCAATTTATGTTCTAAAGGGAGTACTGACTATAGCAAACAAGAATTTAAGGGAATAAATAATTGTATATAAAAATAAGAGTGATGCCGGAAAGGTGAAAAATATACCGTAAGGAGTTAGACCAAACGAATACTACTTAACATAACTATATTACACAGACATACAAAATATATACATACAACAATCCCTACAAAATAGTTATTTCCTACCAAACAGGAGATTCCTTACCACCAGGATCCCTTCCTAGGCCTAACTAAACGTGTCACTAATACCTGATACCCCTAGGGCATTGCAGAAGGCTGGACAAGGCACTAGACAAGGGTCAAGGCTAGCGAACGAATGGACACGTCTACCCTATGCCACGGTTTTTTGCTACTCGCGAAGCGTGGGGCACGCCGTGGAGGAGAGCGTCTCATATCACGTGATCCAGGACATTTGCTGGATAGTTTATATAATTAATTAATACTACTCTTGATTTGACTTAACAGAGTAAGACAATGATGCATATTAATAACATACATAAATATACAAGTAACCTAAGTAACTAAGAACAATAATAATATAATAAGTACAATTAACAAGTTAATAGCTCGTGTGAAATGTAGGCGTGAAAATATGCCTCACGCTATGCGAGTTCCCGAGCGCTCAGGCGCGTGACAGGAGAGAATGGCACTGTTGGCAGCACTACTGGTGGAGGGAGTGTCACTGTTGGTAGTCCTACTTGTGGAGGGAATAACACTGTTGGTAGAACTACTGGTGGAGGGAGTGGCACTGTTGGCAATACTACTAGTGGAGGGAGTGGCACTGTTTACAGTACTACTGGTGGCCAGAATGGCACTGTTGACAGAACTACTGGTGGAGGGAGTGGCACTGTTGTTAATACTACTTATGGATGGAGTGGCACTGTTGGTAGTTCTACTGGTGTAGGGAGTGGCACTGCTGGCAGTACTACTGGTGTAGGGAGTGACACTGTTTCAGTACTTCTGGTGGACGGAGTGGCACTGTTGGCAGTAATATTGATGGAGGGGTGGCACTGTTGACAGTACTATTGGTGGAGGGAGTGGCACTGTTGACAGTACTGCTAGTGTAAGGAGTGACACTGTTGGCAGTACTACTGGTAGAGGGAGTGGCACTGTTGGCAGCACTGCTGGTGAAGGGAATGGCACTGTTGGCAGTATTACTGATGGAGGGAATGGCACTGTTGTTAGTACTACTGGTGGAGGGAGTGGCACTGTTGACAGTACTACTGGTGGAGTTTATGGCACTGTTGGCAGTACTACTAGTGGAGGGAGTGGCACTGTTGACAGTACTACTGGTGGAGAGAGTGGCACTCTTGGCAGTACTACTGGTGGAGTGAATGGAACTGTTGGCAGTATTACTAGTGGAGGGAGTGGTACTGTTGGCAGTAATATTGAGGGATGGAGTGGTACTGTTGACAGTACTACTGGTGGAGTGAATGGCACTGTTGGCAATACTACTGGTGGAGGGAGTGGTACTGTTGACAGTACTACTGGTGGAGAGAGTGGCACTCTTGGCAGTACTGCTGGTGGAGTGAATGGAACTGTTGGCAGTATTACTAGTGCAGGGAGTGGCACTGTTGACCGTACTACTGGTGGAGAGAGTGGCACTGTTGGCAGTACTACTGGTGGAGTGAATGGCACCGTTGGCAGTACTACTGGTGGAGGGAGTGGTACTGTTGACAGTACTACTTGTGTATAGTGTGGCACTGTTGGCAGTACTACAGGTGGAGAGAATGGAATTGTTGGCAGTATTACTAGTGGAGGGAGTGGCGCTGTTGGCAGTAATAGTGATGGATGGAGTGGTAATGTTGACAGTACTACTAATGTAGGGAGTGGCACTTTTGGCAGTACTATTGGTGGAGGGAGTGACACTCTTGGCAATGCTTCTGGTGGAGAGAGTGGCACTGTTGACCGAACTACTTGTGTATAGTGTGGCACTGTTGGTAGTATTATTGGTGGACGGAATGGCACTGTTGGTAGTTCTACTAATGTATGGAGTTGCACTGTTGACAGTACTACTTGTGTATGGAGTGTCACTGTTGACAGTATTACTGGTGGAAGGAGTGGCACTGTTGGAAGTACTACTAGTGTACGGACTGGCGCTCTTGACAGTACTACTGGAATGGCGGGACTGGCACTGTTGGCAGTACTACTGGTGTAGGGCGTGGCACTGTTGACAGTACTACTGGTGTAGGGAGTAGCACTGCTGGCCGTACTACTGGTGTAGGGCGTGGCACTGTTGACAGTACTACTGGTGTAGGAAGTAGCACTGCTAGCCGTACTGCTGGTGTAGGGCGTGGCACTGTGACAGTACTACTGGTGTTGGGAGTGGAATTCTTGGTGGTACTTCTGGTGTAGGGAGTGGCATTGTTGGCATTACTACTGATGTAGGGAGTGGCATTGTTGGCATTACTACTGATGTAGGGAGTGGCACTCTTAGTTGTAATACTGGTGTAGGGAGTGGCACTGTTGGCAGTACTCCTGGTGTAGGGAGTGGCACTGTTGGCAGTACTACTGGTGTAGGGAGTGGCACTGTTGGCAGTACTACTGGTGTAGGGAGTGGCACTGTTGGCAGTACTACTGGTGTAGGGAGTGGCACTGTTGGCATTACTACTGGTGTAGGGAGTGGCACTGTTGGCATTAATACTCGTTTAGGGAGTGGTACTCTTGGTGGTAGTTCTGATGTAGGGAGTGGCACTGTTGTGATACTTCTGGTGTACGGAGTGGCACTCTTGGTGGTACTTCTGGTGTAGGGACTGGCACTGTTGTGGTACTTCTGGTGTAGGGAGTGGCACTGTTGTGGTACTTCTAGTGTAAGGAGTGTCACTTTTGGTGTTACTTTTGGTGTCGGGAGTGGCTCTCTTGGTGGTACTTCTAGTATAGGGAGTGGCACTGTTGTGGTACTTCTTGTGTAGGGAGTGGCACTGTTGTAGTACTTTTGGTGTAGGGAGTTTCACTGTTATGGTATTTCTGGTGTATGGAGTGACACTGTTGGTGGTATTTCTGTTGTAGGGAGTGGCATTGTTGGTGGTAATTCTGGTGTAAGGAATGGCACTCTTGGTGGTACTCCTGGTGTAGGGAGTGGCACTGTTGTGGTCCTTCTGGTGTAAGGAGTGGCACTGTTGTGGTATTTCTGGTGTATGGAGTGGCACTGTTGGTGGTACTTCTGGTGTAGGGAGTGGCAATGTTGTGTTACTTCTGGTGTAGGGAGTGGCACTGTTGTGGTATTTCTGGTGTATGGAGTGGCACTATTGGTGGTACTTCTGGTGTAGGGAGTGTCACTCTTGTGTTCCTTCTGGTGTAAGGAGTGGCACTGTTGGTGGTACTGCTAGTGTAGAGAGTGGCACTTTTGTTGGTACTACTGGTGTTGGGAGTAGAATTCTTTGTGTTACTTCTGGTGTTGGGAGTGGAATTCTTGGACTTCTGGTGTAGGGAGTGGCATTGTTGGCATTACTACTGATGTAGGGAGTCGCACTGTTCGTGGTACTTCCTTACTTTCTTGGTTATGAGCATGTGCCTGCGCCTGTGTGGGCATCTTTCAACTACTGAAAATTAATTTGCGAGGGGTGGTGTAAGAGGCTGGACATATGAATAGATAGGTGGAGGAGGAAGGTAAATCAAACAGCGGCTTACAAGTGAAGAAAGATCTCACCTCCAACAAGAAAGAGAAAGGTGTTGACTTACAATCAAGGGTCATCACTCTACATACTGTGAGACTATATGGCCAAAATAAAGTATTCCAGGTAGCTGTTGGTGTGTTTATCTGTGTTTGTATGTAGAGGATATAAGCAGTTTGTTTTAATGAAACTTAATGGGGATTTTCTTCCCATAGGATGATGGGTGAGTGTTGATGAGTTGCAAGTAAGACTTATGTGGAGCAACAAAATTCATGATAACATTTTCAGTAGTACTGCTACTTCTACTTTTAAATTATAATTGTATTACTATTATTATTATAATTATTATTATTTTGATTATTGAAATTTTCCTTCGTATAATTTTCAATATCAATATTAATTGTACCATTTAGATAATTATTTTCATTATTCTAATTATTATCATAATTATATTAATTGTTGCTTAACTTTTTTCATTGGTGATATTTAATTATGATGGTCCTCTTCCTGGGTTATGGTGGCGCTGTGTCTGGCAGCTCAGTGGAATGGCTTTCGCTGAGGGAGAAAACAACTTCAAAAAGACAAAGAGTGTCTTCCTCGGGCTGGCTGTGTACCCGACTGTGTCCTTCTGTAACCACTCCTGCTTCCCCGCTGTCACCAGGTAGTAACTTTCAAGTTTTATGCAAAATATGAATACAAGCACAGACTTATTTACAAGTAATGGTAGTACGTGGTGAGTATCATAAAGGTGGAGCCTTAATAAAATGATTAAGTGGAAGTCCATAGTTAAGTAAGAAATGTATTGTAGCTACCTAGTGGTATTTACCTTAAATCGTCGGTGCTTTTAATCCAAAAAAAAAAATTAACTTAGCCACTGAGAATCTGTCATCAAATTTTTGAAGGGATTATTTGAATTTTGCTCATATTATGTATAATAAGAGACATTTAATTGTGAAGTAGACTGTATCATGGTGAATGTTTATTTATTACCGAGTTAAGTAACTTCGATAGAGATGTTATGGCCAAATTCATACATTACTCATCTTCTGTCCATAGAATGCCTGGTTTAATTAAGTCTTGTACCAGGGATTTTGTATTGTAGCGTTCTCACCAGTTAAGTAAGTGTCGAGATCATTACGAGTTCAGGTCTCGGTCCCAGACACCCGTGGTTTCGGATATTTGCTCGAGACGCTTCAAAACCACAAATTTATTTACGGTTTTAATTTTCAGGAAGTTAACAACTGGTTAAGTTGAACCTACATTTTGAATCGCCTTAACGAGTCACAAGTGATTATAGTGTTGCTTATGACCTAAACTGAACAATGACCTTGAGTAATGACCGAACTCATGGAAAAAAAATTCTGTTGTTGCTAAAACAGTATGGGGGAACATATAAAAATACGTCTGTTGTTTTTTTATTGAACTTGAAAATGCACAAATGATGCATGTTACCGCCGAATCATCTCTTGATCCTGTACATATAATATTAACACTGCCATAACAAACCAGGTTCGTTCCACAGCTTAGGGCATAATCACAGCAATCGCAGAAAAGCATTACGAATTTATAACATTTCAGGACACACTTTTTGGAAAACTAGGCGTCTATGAGGTATTATTCCTCATTTATTACAGAGCAAGTGCACAAATGAATAAAATGAATATATGAAAAGTGCAGACTTCCTGCAGGTGCAGGAGCAACACAGTTATTTTACATCTACACTGCTGAGGTGGTATAAGAGGTGGCTGAAATATCCACCTGGGGCTCCATCAGGTGGTGTCTGAGTCCTTCATCCATCCGTAATCTTCTGGAGATGGCATTTTCAGTAGAGGAGTGTCACTTCTGGCCTAGATGGAGACTTGATATAGGGCTCTGTTAGAATAAAGGAGTAGAGCATCTGCTGTTGGCACTCCACTCTTTGAGACTTGTGGCAGAACAGTGCTTTTCATAGGATATTGATTTATTATGCAGGCGGCATGTGAACCATTCAATAATTTTAAGGTTTTAATCCTTTGCCTTGTTGGGGGAGAGGCCCGTCATTGTGAGACTTCTCATTATCTGCATTAGTTCTGCACCAAAGTTCTGTCATGTGTGCCAAGTCATGATACTTCTTTGCAGGACCCCTGACCTTGGGATTGTGTGATATAGTTCAGCTAATCTTGTTTCTCTTTGAGTGCCTTTTCAAAGACTGACAGATTCTCTAGAATGGTGATTTAATATGGAAGGTAGACAGATTCTCTAGAATGGTGACTAAATATGGAAGGTAGACAGATTCTCTAGAATGGTGACTACAAATATGGAAGGTATCGCAGCTCTTGTGATCTCTACCTCCAGCTGAAGTACGAATGTATGTGACTTCGGTAATCCTTCAGTCTTAACCTCCTCACATGATCCTTTCTCACGAGGGGTTCCTGGTTCATGTATCGACTTGTCCTGAAACAGACTCATGGCTGTCGCGTAAAAAGTTTTTTTCGATGTAGTGGATGTTCGGTTATGATCGATATTACGTATCGCACCCATCGTAAAGACACCTTTCTGTATGTCCGTTGGGCAAACCAACATTTCTTTTGTGAATTGTTTGGAGAAAAATGAGGCCACCTCTGATTCATGATGGATGACTCTTTTTTTAGCTGTAGGAGAGTCTGTTGAGAAAATTGCCAAATATCTTACTTCTGAATTGTGAGTGACAGTATAGGCCAAGGAAGGAAGTCATTGGGAGAGCGCGAGTTTTACTCGTATTAGACGTAGCCTGTTTCGAAACAATGCTGAAAGCCATCAGCTGTTTGGATTCAGTCTTCAATGAAGGTTCTTCAAGAGTCATCGAAAGGAAGAATTTTAGTGCTGGAGGAATGGCCTTCTCCTGGCAGTCATGCTCAAACTCACTGTTACGAGTGTCCACCATAAGTTTCTTGTTCTTGGTATGAAATACGTTGGTTCGAATGGTGTGTGGTTGGCTCGAGCAGTTTCGCTCATTACTCGCCCATACTGACTGAGTCATCATTTAAGTATTAATTTTGTTTATTACATTATATATTTATTGTATTATGTTTGATTGTATTGTTTGATTGTATTAGGTTTGTATATAGGTTAGATAAGTGGAATTAAAGTCAGTAGGGCAATTTATATAAAGTTTATGTTTTGGCTAATCAGGATATGTTACGTCAGTATTTGACGATAGAGAGGTGACGTCGGTGACCGGCTGGTAGTCGGTAGTCAGTCTAGGCACAGCTGTCTCAAGTTAAGTAGTATACCCTCTCTCTGGTGTTTTGGGAGTTGGAATTTGAGTATTGAGATTTGTTTTGCTTGATGTTGATATTGTGTGATCTTGTTGGACCTCCAGTCCTTACTCAGCCACTTCCAAACATCTTGTCGTATTATTAATGTTATTTATTTTATTTTATACATATGTGATGGTGGGAATAAGTTAATAAATGTTCATATTTTTATTGAATTGCTGAGGTAACCTGTTAACTTGACCTTTGTTGGGAAAACTTGGGATTAAGAATATAATAATAGATACTGATATATTTGAAAGATTTAAGTGATTTGTGTTTATGTAACGATCTACCCTAGGGTCGTAACACTCGCCACTGAATGACCATAATGGTACCTGCTTAATCTCTTGGTGAAGAAGGCCAGCAGCTTTTGCAAGGATCCAAAAATTGCTTTCTGCAGTGCCCACATTGGTTGAATTCATGATGTACTTCACAGTGTCAGGGAACACGAGGATCACATTCTTCCCATCAGTCTATTCTTTCAAGCCAGGAAAACGACCAATAAACGATTCTTTTATTCGAGTGTGATGAACATAACCTGCTTCAACAGCCGCGTTTTTTCAGTGTCTCCGACAGTCGTTCCTCCAGGTCTCTGAGTCTGAAAGACAGTTTTCCTTCACCAACTTCCCAGCTGATTTCACCATAGAACTCCACAAGAGCGTGAAACCAGGCCTCTCTACATTGATCTTTGGGTTTGCGGGTCGCCTCTCGCCGTTTGCTACGTAATCGGTTGTTAATGGTTGTCAGACACTGAAAATTATAGAAAGCATCAGCTGCCGTAAGATCGCCTCCAGGGGGCAGTCTGGCCATAATATCAAAGTCTTGGTGGATCTGAATTCCCATCATAATGTTGGCATCCTGGGATGTTGTTAACACACTGCCAATGGTAGATGGACTAGTCAGCCTTCCTAAAGTTCTAGGTGCAATGACAGCACGATATCTCGTGACGTTCATGGCTCGGGTGTGTATGATATATATGGACACAAAGTAGTACCTTCAGCTGTATATTATTATATTACTCTTATATTACTATTATTAATTATGTATAGTAAAGTATTACAGAACATGTATTAATTCTATGTAATATTCCATTTATTGTGCACCAAATTATGTATATAAATTATCACATTTATACTTTATGTATTCAGCTTGTGAATGCTGGCATCTGTATAGGCCAGCGCGTAGTAATACATAGATAGATGTAGAAGTAGTTAAGACTGAGTTCTGGTGGTGTGCCCACAGGCTTCCCGTGTCCAACTGTATCATCTCCCGTACGAGAATAGAACCTACTTTTAAAGACAACAAGTGTTTGTATATACCCTCAGTAATATAGAACATTCTTTGGGTATCTGGCAATACGCTAGAGGGTGAATCTTGATAAGTTGGTTACTGGAGGACTTTAGCCTGCGCCCTTTGAAGAGACCTGGCTGAAACTTGGACGAAGCACTTTTTGTGCCATTTTGGTGATGAAATCACAGGCTTCCTCAGCCCCACCTGACACACGATCCACTGGGAACACAAGAGTCTTTCGAGATGGTCCCTTGAACAAAACAAAGCCCTGTTCGGTTCATCAATTGGAAAGAAAAGGGAAAATTTATTGCATATTCTGCATAACTGTTATATAACCCTAAGTAAAATTAACATATTATAAATATTAATAATGATATTATTGTTAGGTTAGAGAAAATCTCTACATTATACTGTATATGCATAATGTCCATCCAAGAGTAAGCAAACTTGTGGTCATGTGATTAACCTTATGATCACGTGTGTATGACCAGGTGACCTGGTGGGTTGTATATGCCTTAGACTCTTAGAGTGTGGCTCTGCTTTAATACAAAGATCATTTTGACACCAAAACCAGTCTACTACACCTTCGGATGTTTTTACCATCTGACCTTGATACCCGGACTGATCTTGACCTTGAAACCTTTGCCCTTTAGGGCCAAAACTTTCTACTACCACATTGTACACCTATACCATTTTTTTTCACGATTACGGCAAAGTTGTAAATTTTGACGGATTTCCCCCTGACTATCATCAGTATTTTGGCTCTCAGTGTGAACGGCAACACGAGACCAAGAGGGTCATAAATGCCACTTGGGTCAGAATCATTCTAGTAGTTAAAATAAGAGAAGTGTAACTGGCATTTATAACGAAGGGCAACTCGGACCTTACACAAAGTTTAGGGGATTTAATTATTTACCCGTCCTTTAGGTAGAAAATGACTCTCTTTGGGAGTCTAATATAATCCACGAATTTTCTCGTTTTCTGTAACCAATATCGTTATGTTTGACTTTACTCGACATAATTTAATGTTTCACACGAAAAAAACCCTGCAATTATTACCTTCTCGGTATCAAGCATGAGCTCACATGCATTAGAT